AAGCATGTGGTTGAAGAAGAGATTATGTATGCACAAGGACCAGACCTGAACCAAGAGATGAAGCCCAAGCCTTATGGAGATGAAAAGCTTATCGAGGAGAACAAACTAGACCAGAAGCCAAGACAAGGAGATTTCAAACCCTTACAGCTCGAATCAACCAACCAGGAGCATGAAAGAGGAGTCATCACGTGCTTGCTCCTCAAGGAAAAACCACCTGATGCATCCTTACGAGTCCCAGCAAGCAACGAGCAAACCATGACCCAAGGTAATCTTCTAAACCCTCAAAGAATTCGAAATACTAACTTGACTTATCTCCGTGCAGATCCTACAATTTTGAGGACAAAATTCAGTCAAGGGGGAGGGTATGATAAGGTCATCAGACCAGTAGCTGAATTGGAGCTCCATAAAACGTGCCACACAAGCTGCATAGGAGTCGACAAAGACACATGTGCCTTTTCTGGAGCATACCAAATTAACCACGAAGATTCAGAGCATGAAACCACTTGGAAAACGTTTTCAAATCAACTACAGCATGGCAAGAATTTGAATCAACCTAATCGGAATTTCGACGAAGGAGATATTCAGTTTGCAAGAGTGTTTCTGGACTTGCCCGGTTTAGACATATACAGATTAATTAGAAATTTTCGACCAAACCAAGAAGATTTAAGGTACAAACCAACTTGTTCTATATTCTTGATCCATCAGAAGCTCATGAGGAATTTGAATCAAGTTAATACCGGTTTTTGGTTGGGAGATACTAATTTTTTAAACCGAAGAATCCTACACGCCTTATTTGAACCTTTCGGATTTGGGAGACTTCAATCACATGTTTGGCATCCAGGAGAGTATCTACTACAACTAGAGGCTCCTAAGAACACGTCAAGACTCATTCCCAGCCATTGGATAAGGAGGATTCAATTATATACTTACTTACCATATTTGGCGTCACAAGAACCATTTAATGCCCAACGGCTCTTCCCCTTTGATCCAGTAAAGAGCACGACTTTTAGGAGCTTCTACTTTGCCCACAGAGCTCAATGCCATGGATTTATAAAGAGAATCTCAAGATACAAGGCTGCCCACGAATTTCCTAAATTGAGATGTGTTCACACTAACACATATCCTTCCCAATAGTTACTTTTTCTTTGTGATATTTTTTCAATTAATTTTACAGCATTTCCTTTCTTTCCAAGTTGTTTACTAGCCGTAAGTGGCTCTCTTTGTACGTGCTTATAAAAGCACTTCTCCTTATTCAGTTGAAAGACACCCTTGATCATAGATTAATACAAAGTTTCTAGTTTTTCTTTCAAAGTAGTGTCTTTGAAGATTGTTCTTGTTCTTTTGAATAAAATGTGTGTGATTCACTTCTATTTTTTAGAAGCCACGAATTAAGTGTATTTGTGAGATTCAAACATCCTTGTTCGTCCATTTGATTGAGCGAGTCAATCACTTTCCTTCCATCTCTACCATCGTTTCCACATTCTGCAAGTCTAGGTTTGGAATCTCTCGATCATCGAGTGGTCTTAGAATTGGAGTGATTCCGATCCTATATCATTGGCAGCTGCCTGGGGCTGCTTACAAGAGGTTAGTTAGGATTTGTTTTAGGGTAATACTGGTCGAAACTGGTCCAGTGTTGGACACGGTACCGGACAAGGTATTTTACTGTTACGGGGGTCTTTAGAAGTTCTTTATATGTGCTAGTAAAGATCCACGGTCGTGACCGGTAGTGGTTTCAATCTTGCATATGCTTTAGTTTCGAGGCAGAGTGACAAGTCTTTGGTAAATTGGGTGCAACTTTCTGAATACAGATTCAAATGAAATCGTTCCAACTCCATTGGAATGCTAACTGAAAGTGCTATCGTGAAGCTAAGTTTCATCCAAATCATGTTTATTTTATCCTTCGTACGTTTATAAACTTCTGGTGCATTTGTTTTGTCCAATTTGTGCATATTCTTGAAGATATAGTGACTTGGGTTGGTTCCCTTGACTTGAATAAATAGTTGTAGCCTATTTAACACTCTTTAATCCTCGTTTCATCTTTTTGATGTTTTATCTTGCTAAGACTAGAACATACATATACGAGAAAACTACATCACTTGATTGAATAGAGCAATAAATGCATATAAAATATAGTTAAGTCCATATGAAAAGTGGTAAAATATAGAGTATATCCCAGAATTAAACTTAGTATAGGATAATCT